CAAAGATCCAGCATGAGCACACAGAATCAGCAGTTGATTGAATTTCCTGAGATTGTGTAGATCTTGAGGGTTCTACGCCCCCCCCCAAAAAAAACAAACAACAACTGGGATGCTTTTCCTTTCTGAAAATTAGAGCAAGGAGGTTCAATCACATTTCCCGTTTTGCCATTGCTGCCAGGAAACCCACAACCAGCTAAAATCCTTCATCTCAACTCTCCTATTTCTGCTTTTCCCCCTATTTCAGTTAGATTGCACATGCCCTTCCTTGTTCCTTTCTAGCTCCCAGTGGCTGTCAGTAACCCTGGTATCCCTGGCTTGTAGAACCACGACTCCAACTGCCCCCTTTGCCTTTCCATATCATTCTCCCCCAGGTGTGTCTGTGACCTGGCTTTCTGGGGTCTTCGTTGTCATTGTTGTTTGTTTGTAGTGCTTGGGATAGAGCCAGGGCCTTGCTGTGCTGGCTTGGCTCTGTTTTGATCAAGAGGCTGTTGGGCTAGGGTCCCTCCTAATCCATTATGACATCGTCTTAACCAGGTGCATCTAAATAAATATTCAACAAATAAGATCACATTCTGAGAGTATGTGTGGGCATGAATTTCTGTGTGTGTGTGGCAGGGGGGGGTGGGGAGATGTTGTGCCAGTATGGCCGCTATCTCTGAATCACTAGGAACCTCCTTCAGCTATGTAAGGTGGGACTTGCATACTTACTGCTAACTCTCTCATGCATTCTCTCAGCAAGTACTTATTGAGCATATATTATAAGGCCAGCACTTTGCAGGCACTGGAGTAGGGTTGTGGAAAGGCCAGCCTACCACTTCATGTGCTAGCATGTGGCAGGGAGACTCCTATATATCCATGTGATGTGCTCAGCATGAGCTCCAGAGTCACAGGTTCCGTTGTATGGACTGGTTTGTTGACAACACACAGCCTTAACAATGTTGGGAGGAGTTCATGGGGTAAGACAGGAAGCAACAAAGTGCTCTGTAAATCAGTCCCTCTTTTCTTCATGTGTTGGTGCATCTGATACAGCCTCAGTCATACAACAAAGATTATGTGTCAGGTGGAGCAGTTCACACCTGTAATCCCAGCTATGAGAGACTTAGAGGTAGGGGGATTGTGGTTCAAGTTGAGCCAGGGAAAGGTTAACAAGATTGTGTCTGTCTGGAAACCAAACTAAAAGCAAAAGGACTAGTGGGATGGCTTATAGCAAGCACAAAGCCCTCATTCCAAACCCCCTCTTCATAGTACTATAAAAAAGTGAAACAGATGATAAAAATACTTTCCCCCTGGATTATTGATTGCATTAAATAAGTTAATCGATACAGTGCATTAGTAACATAGCTGGCATGCAGTGAATACTCACATAATCGATGTTAGATATTATTAGCATCCTTGCTAGATATTGTACATAAAAGAAAATCAGAAAATTCTGCTGCTTGCCTTCTGCAGTTTTGGCATACACATGGTGTCATTCATGCCTTGGAACAGGGTACTTGGAGAAACTGGGCATTGAGCCTTAGTGGCAAAATCTAAAGCAAGGGACCAAGTGCTGAGGAAGAATATTCTAGAAGATTTTTTTTTCCCTGTGGGACTCTGAACAGAATACATGCAACCAATTGGACCCCTGGAACAAATTGGACTACATCCAATATGAAAAGTGGCCATATCTCTGCACTTAGTGGATCTAACTCTTTCTGTAGACTATGCAGCCAGGGCTTTGGGGGGAGGGTAGAGTGGAAGGGAGGAAGAATGTTGACTGGGGGTCTTATGGGATTGCACGTTCCCACACAGGCCTCTCCCTGAACCCTGACTCCAGCTCAGGCAGGGAAGCTAAGGTCAGAGAGATCCAGGCCCCACATTTGGGTCAAGGTACCAAAACTGGATCTTAAGACACAGCAGGCCCAGTCTCTGTACATACAAGACTAGTACTTTGTCCTTAGGGTGGGGATGAGCTTCACTGACTGTTGTCACTTGGCCTGTGAGTAACCAATGGTCAATAACTTGTCAATCATTCCAATTTGGGAAACTTCCTGGGACAACTGGCTTTACCAAGTGGAAATTAAAAATGTATAGGTTGAGTAACCCTTATCTGAAATGCTTGGGACCAGAAATGTTTCACATTTCATCCACTTTTGTATTTGGGGATATCTGCATATGCATAATGAAATAGGTATCTTAGGGATGGGTTCAGATTTAAATATCTAATTTCTATCACACGTACCTCACCCACATAGCCCTAAGGTCATTTGATCCCCTATTTCGGATGCGCCTGGTTTGGACATTGACATAGAAGAATGTGGAATTTTCCACTGTGGTGCCATGTTGGTGCTCAAAAATGTTCAGATTTGAGGCTGGAGGCATGGCTCAATCTCCAGCACTTCAGGGGTTTTGTTTTGTTTTGTTTTTTGCCAGTCGTGGGGCCTGAACTCTGGGCCTGGGCTCTGTCCCTCAGCTCTTCAGCTCAAGGCTAGTGCTCTACCACTTGAGCCACAGCGCCACTTCTGGGTTTTTTCTGTTTATGTGGTGCTGAGGAATCAAACCCAGGGCCTCATGCATAGGAGGCAAGCACTCTACCACTGAGCCACCTTCCCAGCCCACCGCTTCAATTTTTTTAAAAGAAAATCTAGAGTTGGGCATATTCTGAATTTCAAATGTTCAGATTCGGGGCATCTTTGCCTGTGGTATTTAGCTAACAGGCTCAGCCACCCTTCCCAGCACCCATGTTCAGATAGTTATTATTGGGTAACACACCACGCTGAATGGCTTCAGACACATGGACTGCCTACTCAATCAACCCTAGGCCACCAGCCTAGTCCTGGTTTAGGTCATTCCCATTGCTGTGGTCACTGGGTGGCTGGCAGTCAACTCTGGCCATCAGAGGCGCTGTCTGGTCTTCTAGGAGTCTGGGTAGGGCTTTCTCACAGCATGGTGGTCTCTGGGGTAGCACTGCCTGGAAGAGAAAAGAGCAGAGACTGTGGGATTTCCTTACAGGCTCTAGAATTTTCCATCACCTCCTCCACTGTGTACTAGCAGGAGCCAGGCACAGCCAACCCACATCCGAAGTTGAGCGGTGAAGTAGATGCGCATGATTCACACATACCTCCCTTCAGAGCGAGTCGGTTATTTCTGAAGCGGACATAGTAAGAGTCCCCATGCTGAGGTACACTTTACCAAGCACCTTGGCAGTAGTTGGCTTTCTCTCTGGGGGGGTGAAACATTTAATGGAGACAGTGCCTAGCTCACAGTGCTGTGGCTAGCAAGGCTGGCTGAGCACTGAAGTCACCTGAGAAGGAATCTTGCACAGAAGGGCTCCTCAGTTATGCAGTCTGCCGTTGCCATGGTCGCCATCTCCATCATCACTATCTTTGCTGTCCTGAGGCCGTGAGAGGAGGCGGACGCGGAGCTCTGCGGCCAGCGATACCAGCTAGGGGGGATCAAATTCATTTTCTCTGCCCATTACAGAATGAAAGGGCAAGAGAGTGTTTAAGGTAAATAGAGAACGTTTATTTGAAAGGAAAGGAAAGTCATGAAAGGGAATAGTGAAATTCTCCACCCAGACAGGGGCCCAAAGAGGAGTCCGATGGAGTCCTCTTGGAGGGTAGTTTTGTAGGACGGGACTCCTCCCATACCTCTTCTCTTTGGCTTTTGTGCCAATAGCTAGATGGCTTGGGCATGACCTGCCCTGGCTCTTTCCATTGGTCGAGCAGGCATCCCAAGGCATTATGGGAAGAAGAAGTGTAGTGAGACACTATGAGAACAAGAAACGCCATGATGGGATCCATGTTATCTGCTATGGGTTAGGTCCATCTTTTTTTTTTTTTTTTATCCCTATCTGCCTAACAGTGCCCCTTTCCCTCACACACAAGATATCCCCTGGGTGTCCAGTGAACCCAGGGTTGCTAATGTAGGCCCATCCCAGGTGCCCTGTGCATGGGAGGGAAGGAGTGAGCGCAGCCCATGTTTCTCAGTTGGGAGTGCGGGGCCAGCTTTCAAGGTCCGCTGAGCTCTGGATTCTACTGACTTGGCTGTCCAGGTAGCTACACTGACTCATTTGCATCCTGAAGACTCAAAGCTACCCACAGTCTGACCTGAGGAAGCAGTGAGGCCCTGGGGCTCGGCAGCCACAGGAGCTGAGCACCCCAAGCATGGTTTGATTGAGGGTTGCCTTGTGTGGCTGTTCAGTATTATGGCTATTTAGTGGAAGAAATGATCTTCCTGTTGTGTGGCATGGGACCTTGTTGGGCCTTGAAGGATGCAGCCCATAGGGACAAAGAGGGGGAGATTCCCCAGCTGAACCCTGGCCCAAGGAATGCCTGGGCAAGCAGAAAAGAGGGAATGATTGTCTTCCCAGGAAGAGCAAGGAGCAGGAACGAAGCTGAAAAAGCAGAATGTGAACACGAATATATCAATGTGTGTATGAGCAAGAGCATGCCCTTGGGACAGGGAGGAAAATCAAGCCACCATGTCACCTGCAACCCCAGAGCAGCCACTACTTAGCCCTTGTACGCCCGGCTTCTCCATTGCTTTATGATGGACAATTCCTTCCTTTTCTGTTGAGCAGAAGGGCCATGGTGTACATTTGAGAGAGGCAAATCACAACGATAGGCACTAAGCCAGGAATAGGGTTCCATGAAGAACTCTTGAGTGTCTAGACATTGGAGACCAAGATGGTGGCAGACTAGGAGAGAGAGGCCTTGGGCTTCCTATTCCTCATGGAACTAAGGACTAGTTCAGGTAGAGGGTACATATTTTTGCATAGACTTTTGCCCTCAACATCTTCCCATGTGGCTCCCTGTGGCTCCGTTGGTGGCCTCCTCTCTGCCCTGTCCCCTCCCCCTGTCCCCATAAACTATGAGCATCTTGGGTTGCCATTCCTCCTCATCATGCAGAGCCCGGCTGGTCCCCTGTGGAGTCACCAACCAGGCCTCAGTAGCTCGATCCATGATCCACACGATCTAAACAAGCGTTGAGTTCTCCTTCTTCTTGTGTCCCCTCTGCAGCTGGAGCTCTCCAACACTGCAGTCCTGCACCAGATGAGGCGAGACCAGGTGACAGACACCTGCCGAGCCAACAGCGCCATGAGCCGCAAGCGACGGGTGCTGACCCCCAACGACCTGAAGCACTTGGTGGTGGATGAAGACCATGAACTCATCTACTGCTATGTGCCCAAGGTGGCATGTACCAACTGGAAACGTCTCATGATGGTCCTCACCGGGCGGGGCAAATACAGTGACCCCATGGAGATCCCCGCCAACGAGGCCCACATCTCGGCCAACCTGAAGACCCTCAATCAATACAGCATCCCAGAGATCAACCATCGCTTGAAAAGCTACATGAAGTTCTTATTTGTCCGGGAACCCTTCGAGCGCCTGGTGTCTGCCTACCGCAACAAATTCACCCAGAAATACAACACCTCTTTCCATAAGCGCTATGGCACCAAGATCATCAAACGCCAGCGCAAGAACGCCACCCAGGAGGCCCTACACAAGGGGGCTGATGTCAAGTTCGAGGAGTTCGTGGCTTATCTCATTGATCCCCACACCCAGCGGGAGGAGCCCTTCAATGAGCACTGGCAAACCGTCTACTCGCTCTGCCACCCCTGCCACATCCACTACGACCTCGTGGGCAAGTACGAGACCCTGGAAGAGGATTCCAATTATGTCCTCCAGCTGGCAGGAGTGAGCAGCTACCTGAAGTTCCCCACCTATGCAAAGTCTACGAGAACTACCGACGAGATGACCACAGAGTTCTTCCAGAACATCAGCTCCGAGCACCAGACGCAGCTGTATGAAGTCTACAAACTCGATTTTTTAATGTTCAATTATTCAGTGCCAAGCTACCTGAAATTGGAATAAAGGGGGCTGGGGTAGAGGGTAGGGTGGGGGAGGGAGAGAATCCTGCTTTTTAATTTAAGATTTTTATTTGTCAAATGAATTATATGGATATGGGGTTATTTTGTAAATTAATATTTCCTCGGGGAAGATGCTGCTAGCAGCATTGGTGAGAATTATTTTTTAAAAAAAATCCTTCGTCGGGAAGGACAGCTGTCTTTGCAGGGGAACAGGGCGATTGTCCTTGGTTTTTTTTTTTTTTTTTTTTAGAAGTGAATACTGCAACACTGTCTCAGAGATTTCCTTGTGTTCTGGTGAATTCCATGAATTATGCATTCCATAAATTCTAATTAATATTATTTATAGTTATTTAAACATGGTCTCTGTATAGATTTCTTTTGTGTGTGTGTTTGTATGTGGCAGCAGACTGCTATGTCTTTGCAGAGGAAATCTATGGTCTGTGCTTCTCTTTGCAACAGTTCATTTGGAGACATGCTGGTTCTCCACATCAACCTCTCACAGAGTTGTATAGTGACAACCCTTGTGATGTGCATAAATGCCATCATTCAGGAATTCTGTTAGGAATAAGTAGGTTGTTATTGCCCTTAGGGCTAGGCCTGTGGTGCATGCCTATAATCCCAGCTGGGTGGGAGGCAGAGATGGGAGGATCCCAGTCTGAGGCTGGCCCAGGCAAAAGCCTGAGATCTCATCTGAAAAAACAAACTAAAAGCTAAAGGGCTGAGTCATGGCTCAGACCTCTAAGTTCAATCCTCAGTACTGCCAAAGAAAGAGGCATCATCACAAAGGACTAACTCTAAGCTAATTTCAATTGACCCCAAAGTCCCTTCCATGAAAGAAATGTGATTTTTTTTTGTAACCCAAGCAAAGAGCTGATTTTTCACCAGAACTAGCAGTCTGGTAGTCTAGGCTTTTATATAGAAATGAACTGGCAGTGCCAGTTGTGGTGAAGGCAAAGTGACCATAGCTTTATAGTCGGCATGTATTTATTGAGCATCTGCTCCCTTCTAGGCCCAACTATATAGGCCTGCAGACAGAGCATTGGACAAAGCCAATAGTCAAGCAGCTTTACATGGACACAGGGAAGCCAGCTTGACAGTGAGCAAACCCATGATATTCCTGGGTTTGAGGGGCTATTTGTGAGCAACCCCAGGAGGTCCATAACCCTTTCAGCTGTGCATTTTTCTTTGGCCCAAATCTGAAAACCTCACACTTGGCTCGGTCCTCTCTACATGGTTAGTAATCTAAGGTCATTACCCAACACAAGAAATGCAAAAAGTGTTTCCGCTCATGTGCCTGTTGCAATTTGGTGGTCATGGTTTCTTTTAAATCCCCCCAGGGATTCTCCAGGCACAGTGTGGAACTGTGCTATGATTGATTAGTGATGTCTGCCTGGATGAGGAAAGGGGAACGTGGTCATCTTGCATCCAGCAGCCACATTCTCATACAGAAGCATTAGCTACTGCTTGCTGCATTTAAGAGTGAGTGGCATGCATACATTTTGGGATTTTCAATGGTCTAGCATTTCTACCCCTTCTGAAGGTCAAAGATGAAGATTCATACACACACACACACACACACACACACACACATACACACACACACATTCCAAACCCTCCCATGTCCTCCAGAGGCTAAGAGACCTTAGGCCTCTCATGGCTGCTATGCATAAAGCAGCTAGGACAGCCTCTGTGATTTAATCTGTGCATCTTCACTGGGAGACTGTAAACCTACTACTTCCTGGGAACATCCCAACCTACTTCCCCTTTGCAGTCATTTCTGATGATTTTTGGTTGAAATTTGAGCCACATCCCTCTTACAACTAGTGAATGATTGGGTAGCAGATACTGTATATAGTAATAATAATAATAATAGTTCTAATGATTGGGAAGGGTGGGATGGGTAAGTTTGTTTTGTTTTTGATGCAGTATGTAGTGTAGAGGTGGGGATATTCTAAACAAAAGAATGAATAATTTATTCACAGAAACTATGAAAATGGTATTGTTAAGCTCATAGCAAGCTCTGTGAGCAGCAACTGCAACATCTCACCGAGGAAATTATTTTATATAATGTGAGCAAGATGTGCTCCAGAGAGGAGCAGGCTGAAGCTATTTATAGCATGTAGGTACCTTCTTCCATGCTATCTTTGCTTTGTGACAGGCCCAGCTACTACACTTTTGATAGATAGAGAGTTATACAATGTGTTTGACCAAACAGCATCAGTAACTGTAATTTGGAGTCTGGACTCTTTTTTTTTTTCCAGACAGTGGGTGCTGTCCTCAGAAATCAGCTCCCACTAATGAAACAGGTCCATTAAATTCCTAAGGTGTGATCTACAGAAAAAGAGTTTTCTGGCACATCCCTTTGGTGTGGTACAAATGAAAAGTTTTGTGATCACATATCCTTGGGAAACAAAGTGAAGTCCATTTCCTTTCTGCAGGAGGTTTTAGAGCCTTGGATACTTGAAGAGCATTATGAGTTCCCAAGAGCATTATGGCAGCATTTCTTGGACTTACCTGACCTGGACAGTCTCTTCTGCAGATCACCCCATAGAGCAGGTGTTCTGCAAGAGAATCTTTAGCTTCAGTGATTTAGCATGTGAGATCTGCTGAGGGTAAAAACTGTCCCCAGCCTTCTCCCTAAACAAACAAGGAAGCAAAACCAAACTAGCACTGCAGTCTCTATATAATTTATAGAATACAGGTACTTTATATGACATAGATTAAACTTTTACTTAAGTGCAATGGTTTTAATCCTGGATTCTGCCCTCAGACAATGATTCTATTTCAGGTGGGCGGAGGGAGGTCTCAGGAGGCTGTAGATGGGAGAGAGGAAAAAGAGGGCAAGTAAGTTACACAATGACCCCCTCTCCAAACACACACACAGTGTAAGGTTGTTCAGTGAGAGCAAATGATCACATGATAAGTACTACTCCATTTTCATAGTTTGGATGTGTTTGCTCTGTGCTTTCTTTTGTTTGTTTGTTTGTTTACAAATGGAAATTTACATCCACTTCCCATGCTTTGCATTTCTGCCCCTAACTTGTAGTGCAGGCTCACCACATGCTGCATGCCCTTCGCTGGCTTCAAGGGAGAAAAGTTGTCCTTTGGAGGATGGATGCAGCTACTCATTTCTGAAAGGACTCCTTCTCCTCGTGTTCTGTTTTGTGTTCATGTTTTATTTTCTTATGATATAATTTTTAATTGATCTGTTTTACAGAAGGTAGAAAGTATTCCATGTCCTTGTCAAAAAAAAAAATCTATTAGTGAGGTATGCCTAGCAAACAAAAGGCAATGGTTTATTTGGCTTTTTGTTGTTTTTGTTTTAAAGAAAAACATTTGCAAATGCTTTTGTTCTCCCATGCTTAGCTGGTAGAAGTGCAGGCGGGAGTCTGGCTGCCGCTGTTTCCAGAACCAGGTACAGTCAGAGGACAAGGATGTTTCCTGCTTACCCTGCCCCTTTCACTGGAAAAAGTCTAGGCTATCAACCACAGGACTCCACAGTGCCAGCCCTGCCGTCCCCAGCTGGTCTGGGAAGAATAGCAGCAGCCTGCTTGGGTCCACAGAATGGCTGTGGGCACTGGAGACTTCAGTCTGACTCATGCTTCTGGGAACAGAGGCATAGAAGCACAGGTTTAAGCTGTGATGGTAGAAAGCTCCAGAACAAAGTGTGTGAGTCCTTGCCATGCTAAGTTGGTAGGGTCTGAGCCTCTGCAGAAAGCAGAGGGACTCTTCTTGCTTTCCCAGTCACCCCTCTGCTTCCCTTGCCCAGTCTTATTCTACACACACACACACACACACACACACACACACCCTTGCCCAACTCTGTCACTGTCAGCAGGACTGACTACATTGCTCCCCCTAGTTCCTACCACCAGCACCCCTTGCACCCCTTTTCCCATTACAGCCCACTGGATTCTAGATAAACAGGCAACAGAATTTTCTAGAACCAGCTGGACACTTGGCTATTAACAGGCGAATTTCCGTCTGCAACTCTTTGTAAGGTACAGAAGGAGCTGCCCGTACTTTCTCAGGCGCATGCCCAGTGCGGCATATGGATATACATTTAACATCTCTGTGGCGTGTCATTTTTTATGTATTTGTATGCAGTAGAAGTCTGTTGTAGAAAATGCTCCCTGTATATCTAATGATACTGTTAAAGAAAGCTGAATTCCACATTGCCAACAAAAAGCGTGAAATGTTCGTGAACCTTCCTCCAGGAAAAGCCATTCAAGCCTGATTATTTTTCTAAGTAACTTCAATTAAATTGAAGGGAAAAAAAAACTTTTGTGCATGGTTTGTTCGTGGCTCATTAATAAAAGACTGTAGGGGTGGGGTGGGGTGGGCGGGCTGTGCTTCCTGGCATGCCGGGGGCCCTGCTCATGCGCATCAAAGGATGAAGACATGGCAGCTGTTGGCCAGCTCAGCCATGGTAAGACCACCACGTCTATGAAGTCTTGAGGAGGGATTCATGAGAAGCCCCTGATGTTGTTCTACCATGCATGTGAACAAATAAAGCAGTGGGGTCATCCAGGGGTTCAGTGTCTGGTGGCAGAACCCCAGGCCTGGGACACTGAATGACACGCTTCTCAGTGACCTCTAAGTGCTCCCACTTTGAAGCTAGGAAGCGTCAGACTTGTACTTCCAGCCCCAGTGAGTCAGTTCCTATCTAATGCCACCAAGAACCTAAGTACCTCCCAAATAGGCTCCACCTCTTAAAGGTCCCACCACCTCGACACTGCCACACTGGAGACCAAGCTCTCAGCACAGGGAGACTGAATTTCTCTCCTGGAGTCAGGGGAAGGGGGAGCACACATTCAAAATTACAGCGACAACCACATCTTTTAGCTTCATTTGTGAAAACAATTCTTTCCTATTTTTCCAAAGAAGAAATCATATGCAAAGTTGTTCATTCTCAATGTATTGTATGTTCTACACATGTTCATATCAACATGAGAATACTATTGATAGGGAAAAGCTTTCCCGCATGGCATGTGGTTTCTAATTTTAAAAATTAAAAAGATCTCCAAAAATATCTTTTTTTAATTTTTTAAATTAAAAAATAATAAACTGATGTGTGGGGCTAGGGGCATGGCTCAAAAGTGGTGGAATGCTTGTCTAGCACAAGAGAGACCCTGGGTTCAACCCCCAGTACTGGAATAGTTGATTCCCCTGCCGGTAAAAATTGGGCATCGGACAGAAAGAAGCCTGAAGCCTAAATGTGGGAGAGGATGGTGTCACGAAGACATAGGTAGAAATGCAACTCTCAGCCAAAGTACAACTGATAAAACATGAGAAAACAGAAGAGCTAAGGGCTGGCAAGGTGGCTCAGTGGTAGAGTACTTGCCTTGCATGCATGAGGCCCTGGGTTCGATTCCCCAGCACCACGTAAGCAAAAAGAAAAAATGCCGGAAGTGGCGCTGTAGCTCGAGTGGTAGAGCACTAGCCTTGAGCTGAAGAGCTGAGGGACAGCGCCCAGGCCCAGAGTTCAGGCCCCACAACGGACCAAAAAAAAAAGAGAAGAGCTAGAAGACAAGGGGCAGAGTTGAGGCTAAAAGTTGCCACAGAACGCTAGCTAGTCCCTGCAAATATGTTTCTCTGCATGATCCATTAAAGTACCTCCAACAACAGCTCAGAGCTTTCCCCTCACGGTCACCCCATGCTAGAACCTGCAGCTGCCCAGAAACAAAACATTCATTCACTCCTTTAAACATTCACTCATAACATGTTGGTCACATATTCATTCATCATAGCATGTTAGGCATCTGGGCAGCCCCAGTGCAAGTGGCCAGGGACTTGTCATCAAATTCAGAATGTGGAAAGGTTAGCAGATTTTGATGGGACAGGGGACATCGCTACAAAGACAAAACATCATATTCTCCTTGGGATAGAAGTGACCCAAGGCTAGCTGGAAAAATGGACAGGAAGTGAGAGACTGGAGCCGTGTTTTTCTGCCTCAGGGAATTTAAGAATCACTTGGGTCAAATGTCAACAATGCCAAGGTGGGAAACCCCTGGATCAAAGAAAGATGAGGGGTAGAACCTGAGTGGAGTGGGGGTCAGGAAGAAGAAAGAGGGAGGGCTGCCACACCCCCATCTTAGGAAATAGAGGTGGAGACAGATGGGGCCTTCGATAGAGCTGAGGGAATGAGAGGCACAGACAGGTTGAGGGAAGGCTGTGACTTTAGTGTACTGCATGCTGATTTAAGGCTTGGTGGACATCGGGGAGAGATGGATAAGTGGTTTTGGGATCTCGCTACTCAAAATGCAGTCTGGGGACCAGCAACATGGACATTCTCTGGGAGCTTGCTAGAAATGCAGCCTTTCACATACTGTAACAGCCCTCCTGCATTTAAAGACACTCCCTGGGTGATTCACAGAGTATTCACATTTGACCTGCTGGTCTGCAGTGTAAGACATTCTGAGGTCTGGAGAGATGGGAGGGTTCTCTTACATTAATGCTGATTCTTCCAGTGCCCCCCACCCCCACCCCGGAGATCTGCATGGTCAAAGCCTTTATATCTGGTTGTACAGATTGGAATACTGAAGGAGTCAATTCCACTTCCTCCTTTAAAAGACATTGG